TGGGCTACATAGTGAATTCAAGGCCAGCCTGAACTACACAGTGACACCCTGCCTCAAAAAAACCTTTTTTTCTCTCTGGCAAAGCCTGGGCCCTTACTGTTTCCGGTACTCAACCTTGATCCCCCAGAGACTTGGGCAGGGAAGGGTGAAAGGTCCCTGTGTCCTGTCTCAGCCCCTGAAGTCAGCGTGTGGTCAGCGCAGATGGTACTTGCAAGGTGATGACACTGGAGGAACCCAGGATTGTGGGTGCTGGGAGACACCATCACTGGCCTTATGCCAATTTGGGATGCCAATTTGGGAAGCACAGTGGTGTGGGTGTGAGGACGTCCCTGCTGGTATGCTTCAGTCGCAGCTGCAGCCCAACTTGGCGGGTTCTGACGTCTTTGGGTTTGTGTGTCTGCAGGTGAAATAAGGAAAGCTGTCTCAGAGTTGCTGGAAGTCCTCATGGGCGTCTTCACCCAAACAGTTCACACGCTAAGCAGTTGACTTACTCATTTTGCTTCCATAGATGAGGTGAGAGCGGCCAGTTGCTTCTGTATGTTATATTCGTCTGAAATCTGCTGCAGTCCACCTGTTCCTTTGACAGAAGCTGGCCCCTCTGTTCCCCATCTCTGCTCGGTGAAGTAACCTCCTTTTTTCCTTTACAGATATATGTAATTGACAGTGCAGACAGAAAAAGATTTGAAGAGACGGGCCAGGTAAATACCTCTGCTCTGGAGATACTTTCAAAACCTGGGTGTTCATTAATCCACCTTGTAAATGTGCGAGAGTGAGGGAGGTGGTTTTCGTTTAACCTTTAAGTTCAAACAGTATGGTTGTTCTGACTCAGACACAAATAACAGCTATCAGAAAAGAAACTAGTTGAGAGTGCTTAGACAATTTTGTGATTACAGCCTTTCGCTTCAGTCAGGTTGAATATATAAGACACAACCAAATGTAACTCAGCACCACCCTGAAACTGAGTTCCCAGCCCTTCTGTTTTCCTTTAGATCATGTAGAAATGAACTCACAGGAGCAATGCGCTTGTCCCGTCCATGTTTGGTGTTTTGCTTTGTTTGCAGTAGTGAGGATTGAACCCAGGCCCTTCACACTGAGGTACATCACCAGCCCTTTTTTTGGTGGGGGAGGCAGGGGGATAGGTCTCACTATGTAAGTCAGGCCAGCCTCGAACTCACAGTGATCCTCCTGCCGCAGCTTCCCGAGTGCTGGGATTACAGGTGTGCACCACCACACCCAGTTTCCCATCCCTTTTTTCCCCCATCTCTTTTTTGAGACAAGATCCCACTAAACTTCCCATGCTGGCCTCCACCTCGTGACCCTCCTCCCTCAGCCTCCCAGAACGGCATGGTTCCAGGCCTGTGCCACTACTGCAGCTTTGCACTTACCATTTGTTTCATTGATCCAGAGCTAATTTTGACAAATTCAAAAGGATGGGAAAAAATTTACAGGCCAGAATTAAACTGCTGTTGTTGCTGGGCATGGTGGTGCACACCTGTAATCCCAGCACTCAGGAGGCTGAGCCAGGAGGATCCTTGTGAGTTCAAGACCAGCCTGGGCTACAGAGTGAGCTCAAGGCCAGCCTGAACTGCAGAGCAAGACCCTGTCTCAAAAAGACAATAAATGAATGAATGAATGAATGAATGAATGAATGAATAAATGGGCTGGGGATTTAGCTCAGCGGCACAGCGCCTGCCTGGCAAGCGTGAGGTCGTAAGTTCGATTCCCAGTACCGGAAAAAAAAAACAAAAAAAACAAAAAAACAAACAAATGAATAAATAAATAAACTGCTGCTGTTTCTAAGCCAGTAGATAAACCTTGACCCCAAATATGGCTTCAAGCGCAGGCTATACGTCGGGGTTTGCGCATACGACCTGGTTTGTGTGCACATTTTACATAGAGAAGCGGTGGGCACAGACCCCTTACCTCGAGTGAATTTACTGACAGGAGAGCCCTCGCTTGCGAGGGTGGGCCTCTTAGGAGAAGCATGTTTAGATCTCATTGCAGTCTTTGGCCTGCACCCTAAACTTCCCAGAAGTGGGCTTGCAAAGGCAGCAGTCCTCATGGTTTTCTTCTTTCTCCAGACCCCTGGAGACGCCCACCTCTCTTCCATGTCTTAGTGATTTCTGGGCCACCACTCGGGCCCAGAGGGTGGACCTCGGGGGTGGAAAGAGTCCTGTAGAGTCCTCTTCCTCTTGAGCCATTTGGTTATCCAAGCCCAAGTATTGAAAATGGCTAAAATATGGGTTTACCTGGAAAAGGATGGGACCTGTCCGTTAGGTAACTGTATACCCTCTCGCGTCCTTACCGCACATAAAATCAACACACAGGTTAGACCTTAGTCTGAAACCTGAAAATCAGGGATCTTGCCAGATGGACCAGTAAAGTTACTTCAGCATGTGGATTTGATGAAATTTAGTGTATGTGTAAGTGTGCATGTTTGGACATAGAGGCTGATCAAACAATTATAATTTCTAGTTGTCAGCTTTCAGCTTTTATGTACCACACACATAACAGGCACTGAAAGTTACTTGTGGGGCCCTGACTGTAGCTCAGTGGTAGAGCACCTGCCTCGCAGGTACAAGGTCCTGAGGTCACTCCCCAACACCAAAAAAAAAAAGGAAGTTAAAGTTATTTGCAGATAGTAAGTTGTGGATAAGTTTTAAACCTTTAACCATTATCTACATTCTCCCTGAACAGTGTTTCTCAGTGTGACCCCTGAACCACTCTAGGAGAAACGGGGGCGTTTGTTAAAGGGCACATTCCTGAGCCCGGCTCAGACCCTGTGCAGCCAGCGTGCTGTCTGGCCGAGGCGCCTGCTGGAGGACCTCCCCGAGGCTGAAGCCTGAGAGTCCCTGCCCTTGGAAGTTGCCAGTTGATCATCTTAAGTGTTGTGGTGTTCGTTAAGTAAAAGTGCCTGCTCAGTACCATGGGCTCCACGCTTGCCTGTCTTCCTTCCCACCCGGTGCAGGAACTGGCTGAGTTGCTGGAGGAAGAGAAGCTCAGCTGTGTGCCGGTGCTGATCTTTGCTAACAAGCAGGACCTGCTCACGGCGGCCCCCGCCTCTGAAATCGCAGAGGGGCTGAACCTGCACACCATCCGCGACCGAGTCTGGCAGATCCAGTCCTGCTCCGCGCTCACCGGCGAGGGCGTTCAGGTGAGGCCGCGCGAGGCTTGGTCCCTTCGCAGCGCACAACCAAGGTGCTGCCTCGCGGATCAGGGCGACGGAGAGAGAGGGTACAGACCGAACAGCCTCTGACGGGCAGAGGCTCCATTCGAGGGTGGAGTGCGTGCAGAAGGTTGGTTCTTTCCCGCTTAGTGACCAGCAAGATGCCATAGAATGCCCCGGAGCCAGCTGCACACACAGCCCGCTTTCCCCACTGGACAGACAGGAGGTCAGAACAGAAGACTGTGAAGGTGGTTTCGAACTCTAGAACTCTAATGACTGGGTCGGGGTCTGTGTGGTGTCTCGTGCTGTGGATGCTGGAAACCCTTACCCAGGTGAAGGCTGCCAGGAACCACACACGCTAGTGACCCTGAAAATGTTCTTGTTTCTGAGCTCCTCTCCCCTGCCAAGGGTGGTGTCTCTGCTGCCGCTGCACTTAGTTCCCCACGGGGCTCCAGGACAGAAAGTTCCTCGCTTTGTACTGAGGAAATGTGTGCGAGGGGAACAGACGCCGCTAAGGTGGTGCAGGGCAGAGCGTGGCTGTGCTCCCTGCACCCAGGAGACCGCCGCCGGGGTGATGAGCGCTTTGACTGCAGTGCGCTGCGCCCCAGCCGCCCCCTTTCACACCCGGGCACCGCTACAGCGTGACGCCGTGCGGTGAGGACCAGACCGTCCCACTTGGGGTGCCAGGCGACTTGCCACGTCCAGAGGAATCGTACCAGGGCCAGATGGTGCTGGTGCATAGCCATACCCCAGCTACTTGGGAGGCTGAGGCAGGAAAATCACAAGTTCGGGCCCAGTCTGGGCAACATAGTATGACCCTTTCTCGAAATTAAAAAAAAAAAAAAGGCAAGGCTAGGGCTGTAGCTCGTGGTGGAGTGCCTACCCCGTGCTGAGAGCCCTGTTTGAGTCCTGGTACCCGGGGGCGCTGGCACAGGGCTCCCTTCCTGCCTCCCGCCTCTGCCAGCACACTGCGCCCTCCGAGACCCGCCCCGCCGCTGTGCTCTTCAGTGCCGCGGCTGCTTTTGTGCCAGAGTTACCCCAGTCCTGTCGCGGTGCTTCTGCCGTTTCCTTCCCTTACGGAAGGAGCCCCAGCTGCGTCTGTGTGCAGCCTCCGGACCCAGCGCCGACAGCAGCGGGAAACAAGCGCCGCTCCGCGGATGCGCAGCCTGTGCCCCAGACACTGCGCGTGCGTGCGTGCGTGTGCGTGTGCGTGGTGCGTGCGTGCGTGCGTGCGTGCGGAGCTGCTCTACATGTGGATGCTGGCGCTCTTGGGGCTTGTGTGGAACCTAGGTTTGGGGGAGATTTTTTTGTTTTGTATGGGGTTTTTAGGTCTTTCTTTCTAGATTCTGATTATAAAAGTAATACACTCTCAATCTTAATTATATTAAAGTTTATAAAGTTAAAAAGTGAGAGTGGAGTTTGGTGGTGCATTCCTGTAATCCCACCACTCTGGGAGGCTGAGGCAGGAGGATTATAAATTCAAGTTCAGTCTGGGCAAATTAACTGAGACCCCTATTGCAAAATAAAAAATAAAAAGGACTGGGGATGTAGCTATGTGCAAAGGCTCTAGGGTCAATCCCCAGTGTGAGAGGAGGGGGCGAGAGGAGTTGAGCATGATGTGCACATCTGTAATTCCAGTATTCCGGGAGGCTGAGACAGGACAATTGCAATTTTGAGCCCAATTTAAAGTTTTGTTTTCCTTTTAGGGTTTTTTGTTTTGTTTTGTTTTTTTGAGACAAAGTCTCGCATGCACCACCATATCTGGTGCAAATTTAGGCAATTTAGGAAGACCTTGTCTCAAAATAAAAATGAAAAAGGTCTGAGGATATAGTTTAGTGTGAAGGCCCAGGGCTCAGTCCGGACACCACCAGAAATTCTTTTAAAAATTGTAAAGCTCTTTCCTCCTTCTGTAATAGGGCTTAATTACCACTAATGGTAGTGATGTGGTGGCACTTGTCTGTAATCCCAGCACTCTTAGAGGCTGAGACAAGATCACAAATTCAGGCTCAGCCTGAGCAATATATCACAAGACCTTGTCTCAAAATTTTAAAAAAAGAGCTGGGGAAGTAACTCAGTGCAAAGCCCCCGGGAGAAAAAAGTATTTTTTTCCTATTATAATCTTATAAAATTGCCGTCCCATAAGTTATTTTGTCTGTCTATCTATCTGCCTGTCTATCTGCCTATCTATCTGTCTACCTATCTAAGGAGTCTCTTCTTGGAGAGGAGCTGAGAGATGGTCTCACGCTGTATCCCAGGCTGGCTTCAAACTCACAGCATTCCTCCTGCCTCAGACTCCCAAGTGCTGGGATAACAGGTGTGCATCACCATGCCTGACTCTAGATAGCAGGCTTAAATTTAACTTCATTTTGTAGTTTAATTTATAAACTAGGATTTTGGGGAGGGTGTAGATACTGGGGTTTGAACCTAGAGCCTTCACACTAAGCTACTTGCCAGCCTTTTAAATTTTTTTGTTGGGGGATAAGGTCTCGCCTGGCCTTGAGCTCATTATATGTCCCAGGCCAGCTTTGAACTCATGGTGATCCTCCTGTCTCAACCCCCTGAGTGCTGGAAACACTTTTAATTTTGAGACAGGCTTTTGCTAGATCTCTGTGTAGCCCAAGCTGGGCTCAAACTGGCATCAGTCTTCCTGCCTCAGTTTTTCGGAGTCTGCACCACTGCACCCAACTGCCAAAATGTTTTTGAATAGGTAAAGTAAAATCTGATAATTGTATTTACCTCTTCCAGTTGCAGCCTACTTTCTGCGGGGAGGAGGGTTGGTTTTTTGAGACAGGGTGATGCTATGTAGCCCAGGCTGGCCTTGAACTCACTTTGTAACCTAGGCTGGCTTTGAACTCCTGGCAGTCCTCCTGCCTCAGCCTCCCAAGTGCAGGGATTACAGTCATACGCCATCACACCCGGCTCACAACCTACTTTTTAAAAGATCAGTTTTCCTCCAGTTGTGCACACATAGGATTGTTTCCAGAAGCCTAAGGTCATTGAGATAAAAAACACAGCACAGGAGAAGACAGCCGCAGCGTATCTTCCTCCTTGGTGGTGCGGGGATCCAGCCCCAGGCCTGGCGTGTGCTGGGCAGGGGCTCCCCGCTGGCCCGGAGGCAGCTCCCTTGTGTCTCTACAAACCCCCAGAGGGAGGGCCACCTCGCGCAGTGAGCCGGGCTGTTGAGGAGGGCTGAAGACCGGGAATCCCTCTTGTGGGCAGACTGCCGGCAGCGGGCTGCGACTCTGGCCCCCCTCCCGGCTGAATCCACAGCGACGCCCTTGCGGCAGGGGGAGCACAGTGGAGCTGCAGGGCGTGGGGCGGGGCAGCGGCCGTGAGATCGCGCTGCCTCGGAGGGGCCTGGCGTGGCGAGGGTGCTCCTGGCCGTGTGGCCCACAGACGGGCCTTCGTTTTCTTTCTCCTCTGTTTGGGTGCTGGGATAAAACCCAGGGCCTCACGCGTCCTACACAATCCCTCGGTCACCGAGCTACGGCCCCGACCCCTCTGGGAGGTCGTGAGGCCAGGAGAGGCTGCGAGCTGCCAGGCGGGCGGGCGGGGGGTGCAGGTGGAGGGGAGGTCGTGAGCAGAGTTTGGCTGTGGTCAGAAGGTTCTTCTCCGGTCAGAGGCCGTCAGCATCCAGCTTCCCGGGAGGGACGCCAGGAGACCTGGAGCCTGGGCGCGCTCAGGCTGAGGCCCGGCTGCGCTGCAGGAGGGAGAGCGTGTGAGGGACCCTGCGGAGAACTACGAGGGGAAACGGGGATGACTTTCCAAGGAGGAGGAGGACCGTGAAGGTCACTTAATTAGCCTAGTAGGTAGTACCGCGGTGTATAGAAGTGGGTAGTTAAGACTGGGATTTCAAGGTTAATGAGATTAGATTATGGTTAATAGAATGATATAAATTTAGAGAATTTAACCATTATTTGAAATGGGTTATTTAATAAAAATGTTAATTAAGGAGGGGATCTGCTGTCTAATGTCCTTTAATAGTAACCTTTGGGGACCGGAGAAAGGTCATGGAGTTTCTCTGTGGAAATGTTTGCTGTTACGCGGCCCTGGCAGACCCCGCCCCTCTGAGTGGAGCTCCGTGCGCGCGCCCGCTTGCCGCCTCCCCTGGACGCGCACACGACTGTGAGCGCCCTCAGCAGGAAAACGTCCGTAGGCTGAAATTGTTTCAGGCTCCCATTCAGACTTGATACTGTGTGACGTTCATTAAAATTCCCTGAATTTCAGTTTCACCCTCCCTACCCTCCTCCACTCCCCGGAAGCTGGTCAGTGACAGGCGAGCCGCTGGAATGATTGGACACAAGTGGGCCCAGCAGGTCACAACGGGTACCACAGTTCTGACCTGAAAGAAAACGTACAAACATTACGCTCAGGAAGCTGTGTGTGGTGTTGCATGCCTCTCACTGCAGTGCTCAAGGGGCTGAGTCAGGAGGATCACCACAGGCTCAAGGCCAGCCTGGACTACACAGCAAGACCCTGTCTGAAAAAAAAAGGACCTGGAATTTCTGTTACAGTAGAGGTGTTGAAAGACAGAATCTGTGTGTGTGTTGTGGGTGTGTATACTCCCGGGGCATCTGGGAAACCTACCTCTACCAGCAAACAGCAGGGGCCGTTGGTGAGTAGGTTGAGGGAACAGCCATGTGTCTGCTACATGTTGTGCCACACTCCTGTGGCCAGCAGGCCACATCTGCCGCTTTGCACTAGTCAAGTGTTAAAAGGTGTGCTTTGAGAGTACAGAAGTTTGGGCTGGTGAGATAGCTCAGTGGCATAAGCGCCTGCCTGTCAAGCCCAAGGTCGTGAGTTCGATCCCCAGTACGGCAAAAAAAAAAAAAAGTACAAAAGTTGGTGATTCCTGGGAGGGAATCACCCAGGTCATAGGGTTTGGTTCCCCCTTGCTTAGCTACTTCTCACAGCTGAGACACGGCCGGGCACCCACAAGTTAAAGGAGAGAGGTTTATTCTGGCTCGCAGTTGGCAGAGGCTTCAGTCCAGTCCACCGCTGGTCGCAAGGCAGGGTGGGTGGCAGAAGGGAAGTAGTTAGGGCACAGAGGCAGGAAGCAGAGAGGGACCAAGGGAGAGAGAGGGAGGGACCTGCCCCGGGCCGCCCCTCCAACCCGGCAGCTTCCCCTGAGTCACAGCACACACTTGTCACTGCCACGCCCCTCAGTCACCTCGCCTGCCCTCCCCCATGAGCTCATGAGCTTTGGGGAGCCGGCTGGGTACAGGTGGACACCCCTGGTCACATTCTCAAGATAAACATGAGGTCTTCCCGTGGTGGGCAGTACCCCGCGCTGCAGTGCGGAAACTGACTTTCAAGAGAGCCAGAGTCTGGAACAGGCCTGCTTCTGCTGGTGGACGGTGACGAGGCGGCCAGTCCGTCGTGCAGTTAGAGCGGGGTCCTGTGGGAAACTGTCACGGCACGAGATGCTGAAGAAGGGTATCAGTCTTGATACCCTTGGAAACTTCATCCTGCTGAGAGGCCCAGAATCCAGAAGGGGGTCCTCGAGGCCCAGTTCCGGCCGGTAGCCGGGGCAGCCTTGTGAGCGAGGGGAGTCGCCCTCCCTGGCCGCCCCTCAGCTCCAGTGTGTGTTCTGCCCCCTCCCTGGGGTATCTGGAAAAGTGAACAGAGGCTGGGCGTGGGGCAGGCGGAGAGTAGAGGAGGACGGCCCTCTGCGCCTTCCAGCCGGAGTCCAGCCCCACCCCAGCTGTCCTTGCTGCCCTTGTCTCAGGTGTTTGAAGACATTTTTCTCCTGGGCAGCATGTTTGTCTTCATGACTTGCTTGGCTCTGGGCCAAAGTGAGGAACATTCCTGACTTCAGGAGGGGGATTCATTCCCGCCGAGGTCCAGGGCCCCCTGGCTCCAAGGCAGAAAGGGCATAACGGAAGGGTCTTGGCAGATAAGAGCTGCTCACCCTTGGCTGGCAGGAAGCTAGCAGGGAGAAAGGGTCCCCTTCCCTGTCCCACCCCACAGCGACCGCCTCTTCTGACCCAGCCCCCACCTCCCAGCGGAAGTCCACCGATGAACACAGCCTCCCGGACATCACCTCCCAGAACCCGTAACTCTGTGTGTGCATGTGTGCGTGTGCGCGTGTGCAAAATTATCCCGGCTTTGGATTTCAAGTCAAAGATAGCAGTTTTGTTTGCAGGGTTTGGTTCATTTTGTTTCAGTTTTATGCAGTACTGGGGATTGAACTGACACCTTCATACAGAGCTACATCCCCAGCCCTTTGCATATTTTCATTTTGAGATCGGCTTACATTTGAGCCAGGCTGGGCTCAAACTTGTGATCCTCCCGCCTCAGCCTCCCAGAGAGCTGGGATTACAGGAGCATACCACCATGTCCAGCAAGATCAGCAGTTTGTACCGTGCCTCTGGCCTTGGTCAGCACAGAGAACTTGCCTGCGCAAGTGACTCTGAGGCCGCAGAAAGCCCCCTGGGGTTGTCTCCGGTGCCCCTCATGTTCACCTGTTCATCTTCCATCTGCCTTGTGTTCCCTCTTACCTTTCTCAAACTGGAGTAGAGATCCAGGTCACAGTAGCTTGCGCTGCCTCCTGTCCACAGTCAGGGCTGCAGCATTCCGAATGTAAGCCCAGCCTGAGCACCCTCGTGACTTCGTGAGACCAACCCTTTCTCCAAATAGAAAATAAAAGGGGTAGGGGACAAAGTTCAGTGCGGAAGCCCTGGGTTCAACCCCAGCCCCCTCCCCACAGACGTGACTACCACTTCCCAGGCCCAGCGTCAGTTCTTACTTACTCCAGGCATAAGTGGAATTGCTTATCTGTGAGTCAGACCTTTATTTTTATTTTTTTAAAATTAATTTATTTATTTTTGTCTTTTTGAGACAGGGTCTCGCTATGCGGTTTAGGCTGGTCTGGAACTCACTTTTGTAGCCCAGGCTGGCCTTGAACTCGAAAGGATCCTCCTGCCTCAGCCTCCCTAGTGCTGCGATTACAGGCTACAGGCGTGCACCACCACGCCTGGCTCTAAATTTTTAAACCTTTCTGTACACTAAGAAAGCAAGCTCAGTCTGTGTGATTTTGCTGTCTTTCTGGTGCAGTGCCCTTTGTCACTAGCAAAATACTAAAAGCGAGCAGTATTTTATGTGTGCTACATCCAGCTGCTTCTTGCCCCTGGGGGCCAGTGGTGCAATGGGACGGACCACATGGCTCAGCAAGGGCCCAAGCTGTGTCGCGTCGTCTTAGGGCAGTTACTGAGGTGACCGCGTCGGCAGTGTGGCTTTGCAAATGAGGCCCGCCCAGCCATGGCTGCCCGCTTCCTTCCAGGCAGCCAGTGTGATGGGCGCCCCAGCCTGAGGTCAGATTAAAACGAGCGGTGCAGCGGGAGACCACGCTTCCCACGGAAGGAAGCGGCCACCTGAAAGCCCGGCACGGCGGGCTAGGGGCCGCCTCTTGTTTCTGCCAGTGGTCACTGTGGGAAATAATACTGTGCCGCGGAGGAATTTATTTCCTCTCCATGAGGCCAGACGGAGCTCAATCTTTGAAGTCCACTGATGTTTCTTCCTCTCTGTTATTGAACGGAAGCTAATCAATTCAAATTCAGTTTCATCGAGATTGGGCAGGGCAGGCACGATGGAGGAAGAGAGCAGGGGCCGTGCGTGCCAGAGATTGTCATCCCCATGGTGAAGAGTAAATGCACGGTGAATTGGTCAAACCAGTTTCAACAGTCAGGGTTCAGCCATTAAACACACCTGTGGGTTCATTTCCTTCTGCAGAGGCAGAGTAGTATTCTGCTTCAGGTAAGTGGTTTCCTTGTCTGCTGTGTTTTATAAAAACAAAGCCTGGCCAAGTGAAAGGCGGATATGCGGCCGTTCGCGTACGTGAACAGGGGGGCGTCCCCGTGAGCAGCTGATGCTGTCTCTGAGGGTAGAGTGTCCACCGCAGGAGGACGCGCTGGGTAGTTGAGATGCTGGGGTCACAGCCAGAGGACTCCTGGATACCTGGCAGCCCTGCAGCCCTGAGAGCTGGCGGAGCCAGAGCTGCGGGGTCCCTGCTGGGCGCTCCGCCCCTCCCTGCCTCTCCTGGGCAGAAAGAATGAGGAAGAAAGTTCGAGAACGGCTGCCTTGGCTCCTGTCCTCTCTGAGCCAAGGCGGAGCCTTTCCTCCGCTGTTCCCACAGCCCGGAGAGGCGGGAGCAGGGCTAGAGCAGGAGCTGCGGAGCGAGGCCGCCCGGCCGCTCAGCCCCTCGCCCCCGGCCAGCAGTGCCTTGCTCGCCTCATCTGGGGCCTGGAGCCCGGGCCAGCACCCCTGCACAGGGCCGCCAGGCACGAGGAGTCACCTAGAAGAAAACGCGTGTGGGCCAGGCGCGGTGCCACACACATGCCTGCAATTCCAGCGCCGGGGAGGCTGGCGGAAAGTTCAGGGCCAGCCTGGGCAACGCAGTGTGACCCTGTCTCGAAAGTTTAAGAAGGGAAATGTTTTAGAAGGGCAGGGACGGTCGGGGGTTTAGCTTAGTGGCGCAGCGCCTGCCTGGCCAGCGTGAGGTCCTGAGTTCGATTCCCAGCACCCAAAAATAAATAGGGAATGTAGTTCAGTGCGCCCTCTTTCAGTCCCCAGTGTGTCCTTGGGGTGTGGGCTGTAGGCCAAGCTCGAGCCCGTTTCGGGGACTAGCACCTCAGGGGCACCTTGGGGGTCCTGGACGACACTTCGCTGTCCTTTCCTGGGAGCTAATGGTTTGATTTTCGAGCCGTCCGCACCGTGCCTTCCATGCCTATCCCTCCACCTCGGGTCCTCTCCAAGCCCAGCCCGCTAACTTGGGGCGCGGGGCTCCCAGGTTGGGGGCCTTGCGCGCCCCCTGTGGCAGGCTGTGGCTGGACGGGCGCCGCGGCCGGGACCCGCCTGCTCCCCTCAGCCCCCGAGCGGCCGCCTGCGGTGCGGGCCGAGTCGGTATCTTCCTCCGCCCGCGCTCGCGTGCAGTTACCGTACTGAAGGCAGCCGCTCGGTCCGCAGCCATGAAACCGGGAAGGGCAGCGCGAGCCGCGCAGGGCAGCCCCGGGACAGCGCCGAGTCTGCAGGGAAGGGGCGCGCCGAGCTGCCCGCCTTCCAGGCCCGCGCGGTGGCTGTCTTGCTCGTCCCTCTTGTATTGGTAAAATCTTTTTTGTCTCCTGGCAGGTGAGCATTTTTTTCCTGGAAACTAATTAGCTACTAAAATTAAACATGCTTCTCTTTAAATGGATCCTTTTCGTGAAGTGGCTCTGAAAGTGGCCTCGGCTTTTCTGAGAGCAGCGCTGACCCAGTTGGGGCTGGCCGCCCGCTCTGCTGCGGCCCGGTCACTGTCCGCGCCGGTGCCGGGCGGAGCAGCCGGGAGGGGCTCGTGGTTTACGGGATTACTGTCCCGAAGGCGAGCGTGTCAGCTGATGCTTATTACTGAAAGCGGCCTCAGCTGCTCGGGCTGCCAGCTCTGCCCGGGCACAGGAAGTGCGGGCTGCGGGGCTGCCCGACAGGGGCGAGTGCGTGGGACCCGGAGGCGGGAAGGGCACCAGGAAGGAGCGCCCGGGAGCTCGCTCCGGGCTCGGGCTCGGGCTCGGGCAGGGACAAGCACGCTGCCCCTGCAGGTCACGCTGCCCTGCAGGTCACGGCGGCTGGGGCTGGAGGGAGCCGCGGGGCGCTGCGGCCTGGCGTCGGCGAGCGGCCGTGCTGCCTGTCGGGGCTGTCGGCGATGTGTGGTTCTTACCTCAGGCCCCCTCCCGCCTTGCGAGGGCGCTCCTTTTAAGGTTCCCGTGCCTTGCCGTTCAGGGACCCTCCTCCCCGTCCCTCTGCTTGGGCCGCTGAAAGCTACCAGAAAGCAGGCCAGGCCTTTTAAACCCATCCCGGTGCTGGAGAAGTAATTGTGCTTGGTCCTAGTGTGCTGTCTCACACGCACTGCAGAGGGCTCGCTCTCCCAAAAAGAAAACGTAATTTAACCCAGTGTCCACTGTCACACTGTAAACACACTGGGCACCAGAAGGGTGGCTTACTGAATGAATGCGCTAGCAAAGGTCAGCTTTTAGAAAAAGCCAAAAATGGCTGGACTCTTTCCTGACAGCCCTTCAGTAAGGCCTGGGCTCCAGCAGATGTGTTTGTGTTTTCAGAGGGAGTTCCCAAGGCCTCGCCTCAAGTTCAGGCGCTGGGCCTCCCTTCCCACCTCCCTCTGTGCTCTCAGGGGCTCCCCCTCCTCCCAAGAGGTCGCTGCCCTGGTCACCCAGGCGGCCCTGGCGTTGGCGGTCCCTGGAGGGAGGACGGGGGCCCTCCCCTGGTGGAGGGTGCTGGGTCTTTCTTGCACCTAACGTTGTCCTTCTCTGCCCACTTTCCTCAAAGGATGGCATGAACTGGGTCTGCAAAAATGTCAATGCAAAGAAGAAATGAAGTGTAGACAAATGGAGATGCAGGAGCTGCGGGAGCTGAATTCAGTGCTGGAAAACACTGATTTGCTGCTTTCTGACCAAATGTTTTTCCATCTGTACAGCTACAGCTGTTTGAAGAGACGGAGCAACACAGTTTAGAAAGAATCCCCATTCCAGCAGTAGATTTAACTGATCTCTGAGGTTCAGTATCATTTTTCAAATAAAGGAATTATATTATTTCCTCTGCATAATTGAAATAGTATTAAATGTCTCAAAGCACATGATTAGAAAATGAGATCTTTTAAATGAGCAAGAGATTGCATCACAGTTTAGACAATTCCAGCGGGCTTTTTTCTAGCAAAAAAAAAAAGAGGAAGAGCCGCTTCTGCTGAGTCGGTGTGTGTACTGACCTGTCCCCTCGTTCCCCCTGTGGCTCGGAAGCACAGTGTCGGTGGTGCCGGCCGGCGACTCCCCATCGCCCCGAGCCAGGGCTTCAGCCTGTGCGGCAGGGAGGGCGGGGGCAGCACTCGATGCAACCGACTCGTCATGCAGGTAGGAGAGTGTGTGATCTCACCCTTGGGACGGGAGAGAAATCCCCCCTCGCCAACAAGTCACTGCAGAAACATACCCCACCCCACCCGCCTGCACACGGGGAGCAGATGCTTATGACTCTCGACTGTAATGACATCTGGAATGTAAGGAGGGTGGGAGGCTTAATTCCAGAAAAATTACAAGGTCCTTAAACAGCCCTCACACGGAGGGCTTAGGCTAGCGTAAACAGGCTTTCTCCAGTTCAGTGGAGCGGGGAGCAGCCGCTCTGAGATTAGCTGGCTTCTCCAGGCTGTCCTATGGAAGGGATTTCTAAAGCTCAAAGAATTCTGTGTTTCAATGATCACAATAGGCCACTGCTATCAGATTTTAAAGATAAATGCAGCTTTACCATGGACTGGCTGCACTGAGATAGGCCAGGCAGATCGATTTTGAGAAGAGATCAATTTTTACAGTGCTGGCAAGGAGGAGGTGTGGGCAGCTCCTGGCCGAGAGGCTTTGCTGCCGGGAAGAGCACGGGTGATGACTGCGAGCTGGGCCCGGGGACGCCAGCCCCCCATCTGCGGGTCCCCCTGCCTCTCTCCGGCAAGATGTGTCCTGTTGATTGATTGGAGAGGAACGGCAGAGCTCGTTTCCCGGAGCTTTCAGAAATCCCCGGCCTCAGACACGGGAAAGCAGGCCGGAGCCTCGCCAGCTCCTGAATTAAGCTCTGTTTGGGGCCTGCCCACAGGGGCTTTCAGAGGGTGAATGAGGGACTGTGGGGCCTGGTGGGTCTGGGGAGGCAGCTGCCTGCCCATCCCGGGAGCGCGCCCTCCGCACCGCCGGAGGCTGGGGGAGGACATCCTCAGGACCCTGCTTTTCCTGAGGAGACGGGGCAGGAGAGGCACAAGCCTGGCCAGCTTCAAAGGCAGGCTGGGGTGAAGGCCATTAACAAAGCAGCCGGGAGAAGCAGCCCTGGTGTGGTGTGGACAGACCTGTAAGGGCTTGTAAGACAAAGGGCGAGGCTGTGGACCACCCGCGAGTGTCCCCGGCAGCCTCCCAACCTTCTGGTCCCCGAGCTCTTCTCCCGCTGTTGGCAAAACGGAGCTGGGAGGAACCTGAAACCCTGCAACCAGCCGGCTGCGGGCGGGCTCGGCCCCTGCGCGCTGTTTTCCTCCCAAACAGAGAGCAGGTGTGTTACCGAGGGCAGAGGCCTGCTCCGAGGGCTGCGGTTCTGCACACGGCAACGGGGCGCCGTGACTTCGGCAGCGGCCGGTCTGTGGGGCACTTTCCGTGTGTCCACCAACTTGGAGAGCTGCTCTGAAGAGCCCTCCACAGGCCCCGGCTGGCGGGCAGGCGGAGGCCGCTTGCGAGCTCCGGCCGCAGCCGCTGGAAACGCTCACTCTTGCTCCTTAGCCGGAGACACAGGGCCCCGTGGGTGTCACGGGTGAGCCCCACGCAGCCGTGCGGGGCGGGGCGAGCGGCCGGGGCGCAGGGTTGGGAAGCCCCATCTTGACGACAGAATGCTCTGAGGTCCCCCCCCCGTGCCACCCACGCCCGCCACACCCGACTGGAGGACGGCGGCGGCGAGAACGGCACGCACGCCCCCTGCGCACACCTCGGCCTGGGAGTGGGGGCCGAGAGCTGGCTGCGGCTGCGGGGAGACCGAGTCTGCCGCTCCGCGCCCGCCGGCGGCTGCCTCGGGCCGGCTTCCCTGGGCCCGGTGCAGCGCACCCGTTCCCCCGCTCGCCCTCGTTACTATGGAAACAAGGGTGTCCCTGATGTGGGCTGTTCCGGGAACGTGTGGTACACAGCCGATTCCGCCCGCGGTTCGCACGGTGCCAGGGTTAGAGGAGTCCGCGGCCCGGGGCGCCGGGACGGCACGTCCTGCCCCGTCCGCCCGCCCCGCGCTGCGCCGCGCCGTCCTGCTTTCCGAGTTTTCTATTCCCTTGTAGCTATTTCCGTGCCGTCCCGAGCCCCACCCTCACTGCCGGCCGCTCCTGATCCGCGTGGCCGGGGGTGACACCGTGCCCCCTCCCGGCACTGTCCCGAGCCCCCACGGCTGCTTTGATCTCTCCTTCCCTTCCTTTTATTTTTAGCTCTGCACTCGTGTGGTTTCAGGGTTCAGTCCGATCCCGCGAAAGGTTCTTTTTTTACAGTCCCTTTTGAGACTGATAATCAAAGGAAGGGACGTGCTATTTGGTCATGTGGAAAACTCAATGTATAATTTAGACGTCTGTCAAAAATGCGACAAATAAAATGTAGCTGGGACGAAAGCCTCCTGGATGTGCTCTGTTCTTTCAGAAGCTTCAGGAGGGCGCCGTGAGCTCCGTCCTGTCAGGCTGCTCTCCTTAGGACTGCGCCCGGATTTGCTGACGTTTCTACCACCCCAGGACGACCCCGGCCTTTCCTAGGCCCTCCTGCTTGCATTGCTTCACGCTGAAGAGACGGGCATTGGCCTCAGGGAACCAATTTGCCAAGATGGCCAAGCTGTAATGGCGGGTGGAGCTGGAAGCCTGGCTCAGCTGCCGCCTCTGGAGGACAAAAACTGGGAGTGAGCTGGGCACAGTGGCACACACCTCTCCTCCCCCAACTCTGAGGCTGAGGCAGGAGGATCGCCACCGGTTAAAGGCTAGCCTGAGCTACACAGCGAGTTCCAAGCCAGTCTGACTAATAGTGAAACTTTATCTCAAAAACAAAATAAAAAGGGCTCAGTGGTAGAGCATGTCTGGATTTGGTCCTCCGTGCCCACAGAAACCAGCACAACGCTGGGAATGGCCCACCTCCCACAGCCTCAGCCCGAGCCCCCAGGTCCTCCTGCTCAGCCTTCCTCACACCCTCACGCGCAGTCAGCACTGCCCCTGGGCCTCCCATCCCCACACAGCGGCACAGCCTTAGATGGTGCAGCCCCCTCTGTACAGCTCCAGCCTCAGAGGACGAGAGAAACATCCCTGGGACAGTCAGGGTGGACGGGGAGGCACACCGCTCCTTAGCACCTGGTCCCGGGCCTGCCTCTGAGAGGGTTCACCCGGATCTCATGACGGGGAGAGGGCCAGGGAGCTGACCACCTCTCCGGCAGCCTACAGACCGAGGCCCTGCAGGTCCCAAAGGGCCCTGCATTGAGGGGCAAGCTGTTGGCAGGGGTGAGAAGCCAGAGACGGGAGAGGGCCTGTGTGTGCCCAGTATGTTACAGGACATTCAGTTCAACTTGAATTTGAAGTAAACAATGAATAGTTTGTAATTTAAACAGTCTCCTTGAAATATTTGTGGCATCATTTTATTTTATTTATTCATTTTGGTTTTCTTGAGACAGGGACTCAATCTAATTCAGGCTGGCCTTGGACTCACTGTGCAGCCCAAGTTGGCCTCGAACTCAAGGCAGTCCTCCTGCCTCAGCCTCCCAAGTGCTGGGATTACAGGTCAGTGCCACCGTGTCCAGCTGGGACATCATTTTATTTTATTTTATTTTATTTTATTTATTTATTTTTTGGTACCAGAAATCAAACTCATGACCTCAGGCTTGCCAGGCAAGCACTCCCCGGCCCCCTGGGACATCATTTTAATACTCAAGAAAAAGGTCCGGGGATGTAGCTCAATGGCACAAGCACCTGCCTAGCAAGTGCAAGGTCCTGAGTTTGATTCCCAGTACAAAAAAAAAACAAAAAAAACTCAAGAAAAACACATTGTTTATCTGAAATTCAAGTTTAACTGGCCATCCTGGTTTTTGTTTTTGTTTCAGTGAATCTGACACTCCTACCCAGGACTCAGTAAAGGGACAATGCCATACAATTAAAATACTCATTCTCTGGAGCCAGAGAGACCCAGGTTCAACCTGCCTTGTCCCCAGATCAGCTGTATGGTCTTGGGCAATTTACTGTGCTCCGGTCACGATCGTGCTGTGCCTCTTCATCTGCAAAGCTGGGTAAAAGAGGCGGAAAAGATAAATAATGTAAGTTAAAGGCCAAGTCCTAGGGCAATACCTAATATAGAGTAGGACACTCTGCCCCTTGGTTTCTTTTCTTTTTTTGGTCCTTTTGAGACAGGGTCTCGCTATGCAGTTCAGGCTGGCCTTGAGCTAGCTCACTTTGTAGCCCAGGCTGGCCTTGAACTCACAAGGATTCTCCTGCCTCAGCCTCCTGAGTGCTGGGATGACAGGCGTGGGCCACCACGCCCAGCTCCCCCTTGGTTTCTTTATCTGTAATATCAGTTCAGGTGTCATCTAGTCCCTCGTACCTGTTACAGTAACTGGCAGGAATTCCCAAGCCCGGGCCATCCCAGGCCTTCACCTCCCTTCCTCTGTGGCTCCCTGACTTTTCAAGCAGGGAGCAAGAGGCCCGCCAGCCCCCTGCCTGCCGGCCACCGCCCCGGCACCCCTCCTGCAGTTGGACTGGAGAGGGGGCGCAGGCTTTTGTCAGAGGCTCCTGATTGGCTCCAGGCAAAAACACAGCTTAGTGCTCAGCCGGGCTGCATTTTCGGGCCCCTGCCCACCCGTCCCTTAACTTCAGTCTGCTCTGCGATTTCCCTTTCCAACACTGCAGAGCACTGAGGCACAAAGCCACCAGGGGCAGGGAGGGAGGACGGGCAGCGCCGCAGCTCCGCAGTGGACCTGGGGCCCGGCGCAGCGCAGGGCATGCACGTGTGACGCGTGACGCGACACGGACAGCCGCAGCCTGCCCCCCCCCGGCGTCAGTTCCGGAGGCGTCCTGAGGGGCCCACTTGCGCC